CTACTGGTGAGCACCTTGTCTAGTTCTGTATGCTACTGATGAACACCTTATCTAGTTCTGTATGCTACTGATGAGCACCTTATCTAGTTTTGTATGCTACTGATGAACACCTTGTCTAGTTCTGTATGTTACTGGTGAGCACCTTATCTAGTTTTGTATGCTACTGGTGAGCTTCTGTATAACATTGGTGAGCTCCTTGTTTAGTTCTGTATGTTACTGGTGAGCTCCTTATCTAGTTCTGTATGCTACTGATGAACACCTTGTCTAGTTTTGTATGCTACTGGTGAGCTTCTGTATAACAATGGTGAGCTCCTTGTCTAGTTCTGTATGCTACTGGTGAGCACCTTATCTAGTTTTGTATGATACTGATGAGCTCCTTGTCTAGTTCTGTATGTTACTGGTGAGCTCCTTCTCTAGTTCTGTATGTTACTGGTGAACTCCTTGTCTAGTTCTGTATGTTACTGGTGAGCTCCTTGTCTAGTTCTGTATGTTACTGATGAGCTCCTTATCTAGTTCTGTATGCTACTGGTGAGCACCTTATCTAGTTTTATATGCTACTGATGAACACCTTATCTAGTTCTGTATGCTACTGGTGAGCACCTTATCTAGTTTTGTATGATACTGATGAGCTCCTTGTCTAGTTCTGTATGTTACTGGTGAGCTCCTTCTCTAGTTCTGTATGTTACTGGTGAGCTCCTTGTCTAGTTCTGTATGTTACTGGTGAGCTCCTTATCTAGTTCTGTATGCTACTGGTGAGCACCTTATCTAGTTTTATATGCTACTGATGAACACCTTATCTAGTTTTGTATGATACTATAAGCATCGTTCTTTAGTTTTTTTCTTACCTATATATAAACTGAGATTGATAACTTCGGTATATTTAAAAACCAAGTACAATTCTATGACTTTCATCCGCATAAATACTTTTATTACATAACGATTTCAGCTTCGTTGTTAAAGAGCTTTCGATGAGTTTGATATTCGTTAATATTATACAGTCCAGTAACGTATTTATGTTTGCATTTTTTATATTTCTAGCAAAGCTACTAAGGCTTTCTGCCGCTGTCCCTAGTTTCGAACTACCGACCTGATAGAAGGCTGCCAGTCAGGATCCTACCACCCATCATCTATGCTAAGGAATTGGACTGTCACTCTTATAATGCACGCGCAACTTAAGGTGAAGAGAATATTTTGTGGCATCGCACAGGTTCAAACCCGGCTCAGCCAGCTCCAAAATCCAGAGCTGTAGCGCAGGGCTCCACTAATGGAGCCAAAAGCTTGAAGCTCGAAAAAGAATTACGTTGAAGAAAGTCTCAGATTTTTATTTTAGAGGCTTATAACGCTAAAAATGGGGTTTCGATACCCGTGAAGGTCAGAATACAGATAGCCCATTGTGTAGCTTTGAGTTTTACAATAAACAACCAACAAACCAAAGACTCTGTTTAAGTCTTAAAAATAAACAAATACAAGCACAAAAACAAATAACACAATTCCTTCTTCTGTACACAAATTTAGAAAATTCCAAGGTATAACTTTTTTCAAAATAATCTTTCAATTTTAACATGATTTACGTAATTTACGTAAATATCATCACAAGTGTCCTATTTATGTCTTTCAACTTACAGTCTCCTTCAATATTATGAGGCAAAATTTCAGTGTTTAGCACCATCCAATCAGGAAATAAACACAGACAAAAATGTTAAACAAACAGTTCTTCGAAGTTGTTGTGGGCATAACGGAAAAAAATACTATCATGATTATCCTGTGAAACAATATGAAAAGGCTTAACGTCGAGCTTCTGAAACAATATAAAAAGGCTTAACGTCGAGCTTGTGAAACAATGTGAAAAGGCTTAACGTCGAGCTTCTGAAACAATATGAAAAGGCTTAACGTCGAGTTTGTGAAACAATGTGAAAAGGCTTAACATCGAGCTTGTGAAACAATGTGAAAGTCTTAACATCGAGCATAAAACTGAATATACTGAATTTTGTTTATTTTTTATTATCTTTTGGTGCTTTATTCATTGTGGATTTAAATTTTAAATAAAGAAAAGAAAAGAAAAATGAAAAAAAAACATTACAGAAGTATATAAATATTAAAGATTATTCACATACGTAAATTAATTTACGTTACTAGTATGTGTTGATGTAAAACGGACTCAAAAACCCCATGCATAACCGAAGTGTGGAAAATTCATTTCCACATTTTAGCGGGCATAATATAAAAAGATATTAGTTTGATTGTCATGTGTAGCTATATGAAAAAAGGCCTATGATTGGGTATTATACTATCCGTACTGAGTCTTTTTTTTTGCTCCTCACTGACTTATCAGTAAGTCTACGGGCTCATAACGCAAAAGATCGGATTTCGATACTCGCGATGGGCAAAGCACAGGTAGCCCATTATGTAGCTTTGTGCTTAACACCAAACGGAGTCTTATTTATTTGTTGTTGTTGGTTTTTTTTTAGTACATTACTTTGCCTGGGTTAAAATTTAAAAGGAATGAAATAAAATAAATGTTGGTTAAGAAAAAAACTGTCAAGTATTTACATAAGAAGAAGAAACACGAAACTTCGAGTCTCTCACGTTTATCAAGTGGAAAGTTTTAAAACGAACTTCTTGCATTAGTAGAAGAAACGTGTCGTGTTTCTAATTAGACTTAACTTTAACAAAGGATACTTAATAAGATCTCGAGCGATCTTTACAGTTGACTGGAAAGTATAAAAAGATGCATCTTAAGCATGCCCACAGATAAATTCTTCAAGTCCCACAGTCAAGAGAGAGAGAGACAGAGATCCCACGTGCCTACTCTCCTTATTGCACGTAAAATGCGTTGCGATAGTGATTTTCGACAGTAGAGTCTAACCAACAACAAAAAACGTCGTTCCATAGTTTACTCTGTTATTCGCTTACTTCTTGGTTTATCTTTATCGCTGTTATTTTAAACTTGGCTGAAACGAGGTGTTTGAATTTTTTTTTCAGAAGGTTCTGTTGTTGATCAGAAGCCTTTTTTTCCCCCCTTACTGTTAGTTTTTTTTTCAAAGAAGTGAGTTGGAAATTGGCTACGAAGCGGACGTTCTAATTTATCCTATTACTCTGCGCTGGTTTCGTCGATGAGTTGCGTTATCACAAAAATACTGAACTCGGACTGTTTCGGGAGCACGTGTCACGGCCAATCTCAGGTGTGTGTAATGGATTACTTCTATTTATCATCATCTGTCGGCACGAGACACGAACCTCAGTCTTCACGTGACAGCTCACCAGAAACGAGGCATGCAATATAAACTTTAGTTTTTTTTACGGGTTCTGAACCTGTATAACTAAGATACTACATTTTGAGTAAACGCAGAACATTAAATACAGCCTCGTTCTTCGCAATATAAGATGGCTGTGGATTATTTTTCTTGGAGCGCATAAAATAATAACAACTAAATATAATAGGATCAAAACAATGGAAATGTATGTATGGTCTCATTTAACCTGTTATCTATTTAAAGGAGTGTGATGGGGGGGGGGGGAAATGGCGAGTTCTGCTTAAGCGTGAATTAATAATAATTAATTAACAAATCATGCGATGTGCGAAGTTCGAGTCGCGATTTTCAGCCAGTTTCATCGTGTATTGATGAATAAGAAAATTTATGAGGTGAGTATTAAC